GGCCGCGCCGTCGCTTTTACTAATGATGATTCGCGAGGAGCGCACATACGCGTATACTCGTTTATATAACTAATGGATCCGCTCTCTATACGCTCGCGCGCACGTAATCAGCTTTGTCAAAGTTTTCGATGTATTTAATTGTTAATTGATGGGTATTAGGAGAGAGGCTGCTGCATTGCGCGCTGCTCACGCATTGCCTTTGCCTCACTCTCTCTATGCATGCAGCAGCCTATATGCTAGGAATGGAAATTAAAATACAAATCACAAGCCTCATTTACTCGGTACGAGCCGCTGCGCATATATTTAAGCGGCTCGCGAATGCTACGATGTATTATTATAATGGAACGATCGGTATTATATATTGGATTTTTCACTCGCACCTATATGCACATTATGATAATGTATATATTATGGTTTAGAAAAAAAGCTCATCTTATAATCGATCTGTGTGCAGCGGTAGACTCCAACCGCGCTAAATAAATTCGCCAGTCGTTATAAGCTCCGTTTGTGCTTTTTGGTCGCGATCTCGTACGCCGAGTGAAAAAGTATAGCCGCAGCACACCGAATGCCTATACGTATATATAATAATAAAATAAGGTGCGCAGGCTGCATAGGCAAAACGTTGGAACTCGAGGCAGTAGCAGCTTCCTTGAGGCGCGCACTCGTAAACGCGAAAGCTCGCGCAAGCTCGAGAGAACTATAAGTACGTGTGGCACACAGCTAAGCTGGCTGTATATTATAATATACGAGGGAGTCGCGAGCCGTGTGTATGTATCCCGTGGATCGTTGCGTTGCGCGCACCAGGTGTTTGTTATGTTGCCTCCTGGCCGTGACGTAGCTCTGTGCGTACGTGTGTGCTGTCATGTTTACGATACGTCGGCATCAGGCGTCGTGTGACCCAATTACCTCGGAGAGGCTGAGGATCTAGGCGATGTGCGAATAGTTTCCGTGATATAGCTCGATAGCGAAGTACGAGGTATTCTGAACGAGTCTCTACCGCGGGGAAAAATGGTAGATAATGTATAATAATCAGAAATTCATTTCAAAAAAATCAATATTTTAACCAAATTTAGGAACAAATATTGTCTTAAAAATTTGGTTCATCAGCTTCAGCTTTAACGTGTACTTTTTCAAATCTTTGATGGCCCTCGCCCAAATTCAATGGGTACTATTTTTTCAGGTTTCTGAATCACCAAGTCCCCAAAAAAATTTTTTCACGAGTGTGCTTTAAAAAAAAAAATTTTTATATATTGGCAAAGTATTAAAATGTCACGAGACTTCCTGTAGCTTAACATGTTCTGTATATATAATAATCGGGCATCTATTTTATCACTTGCGAGTTAACGATACGCCATCTGTTGACGGAATCAAAAAGCTCCATTATCAAAATACGGTACTGTATTTACTGCGATCGACATTGTTAACATTTCTAAACGAATTTCGGAGTGTTAATCCGTACATCTTCCTACACGAAAATATAACTCTTAATTTTTGTAATTGACGATCTAATCTAAAAAGTCAAAACACGCGAACGCAGCCGCAGTACGATCGAGAGAAAATACACCAGCCTCGGGACGCGTTGCAAAGGAAGTTCTTATCCAAAAAATCCTTCAACATAAGAAACCTCCTCCTCCTTCTCCATCAGCTCCAAATGAACCGACATAATTTCGGGTCGAAATTTTGCATTCCCGACATCGAGCTCTCGCGTATACAAGCCGATGTTAAAGTTTGCCGCTCCGCATCTATGATTAACCAACGACGACGGCGTGTATATTGTACATTTTAAAATAATAAAGGTGCTTCGTCTGCGCAAGACTCTTACTCTCGGACCTGCCAGCAGCAAAACTTTGCCTGCGCGCGCGCCAGGCAAAAGCCTAAACTGTAACAAAATTTGGGCTCGCGCTATCTCTCTCTCTCCCGGGTTAAGGCAGGTGTATAACACATCTCCGAGGCAGTTTACACACGCTCTCTCTCTCTCTCTCTCTCCTTTTGCGCTTCGTGCGCCTCTCGTCATCATCAGCGATTCGGAGCTCGAGTTACGATATATCTGTATATATACGCGCGCGTGGCCACGAGGTGTTGTCGGCGGCGGCGGCGTCGGCAACTCACGTTTTTACTCTCTCTATACTATACGCTCCTTTGCCGCAAGCATGTGCATTATCGCAGGCGGCGGCGGCGGCGTATTTCATAATGACATTTCTCGAGCTGACGTAACGAGCAACAGCCGCCACCGTCGACGACGACGTCGTGCATTATCGCACTCGCTCGGTGGGGGCGGCGGCAGCGGGCGCCCTTTAACGCTCTGCTGCTGCATGCACACACGCTCACCTTCTCCGTGACTTTCGAGATAATTCCGCACGACTCGCCCCGGGGCTGTGTGCGCTCTCGGTTTATATATATGTGTATATCGCCCGAGTCCCATCCCTCTTTTCAATATAGAGCCTAACGTCGCAGCTCATGTATACTAGAGGTATATGTGCCCATAAGCAGCAGCATATACACCTACGTATGTATTTATGTATTTATGCATACGTGTTATACGTGTACGTGTATGTGTGTGCTGCGAGCTATGCTTGTACCACAGCTTACACCGATCCTAGAGACGCGTACATACACACACGTGCGCGCTGCGAAGGTATATATTTCTCCGCTCGCTATCGGAGATTGTGCATAGTGGATGATGATGAATGATTAGGAGCCTTGTTGCAGCTTGGCACGTATGTATGTGTGCCTGTGTAGCACAGGCGTCGCGCCGAGAAATTGGAATCGACACTCTGGAATGTGACCGATGCGTATGTATGTGTAGTACACCCACTCAAGGTTGTGCGTGTATGTGTGTGTGTGTGTGCCCCGATACCCTCTTGATTGACGTTTCATCGATCGAAACCTCTCCTACATATATGTACGCATATTGTACCTTGGCAGCGGTGCCAGAGAGTCACACGACGCTGAAATATTTACCGTTTGTACAGTCGTTACACGTGTGTCTTCGATAAATGACAGGGGCAAATATCATTAAGATGCACTTGTATGCTCTTTTAAAAATTCTCAAAATTAAAACGGCGGGTAAAACGGTAAAAACTTTTAAAACGGGGCTATAATACAATTATTTTGACTTTGCCACTTGCAGATTTTGCAGATAAAAGAAATCTCGCCGTCTAGTGGCGGAAGGTTGAAGTAATATTGTCGTAGTTAATTTTCGTACAGCTACTTTGAATTTTCTATATTTTAAATGTAAAATTTCAATGGAATCCTAAATTTGTTAATTTTTCGTGTTTTGACTTAAACAATTGTTTTTGCTGTGCCACTTGCGGATTTACAGATACAGAGGTGCTCGCCATCTAGTGGTGAAAGCTTTAAAGTGATATCATTGAATCAAAGTGACTGACAACCTGGTCTAAATTTTTTGAAATAACCAAATTGCTCATCGATGCACAAAATAATATACAAACCCATGAGATTATAGGATGAAAATGACTTTTCTCCTCGATTCATCGCATCGCGCTCGCACACATAGTTATGATTTCCATTGGTAAAATTCGAAGAGTCTAGCGCGAGTGCAGGAGGAACGAAAAAAGAAGGCAGCAGCGCAGCGTCAGCCGTTTTATTATGTGACTACAATCCCATTTTCTCGTTTCTCTCTGCTGTGCATGTATGTATGTATGTACAAAAGGTGCGGGCTCTCGGTGTGGTATGGCAATTTCTTTCATTGCGTTGCAGCAGCAGCTAAGTTGGAAGAGAGGCTTTGGCGTTGCACGAGAGTATTACACATTACAGAGCGACTTTCGTTGCTGCTGCTGCTTCATCCGCTCACCCATTGTTGTCGCTCTATTTTCTACTAGGGTAATTGGCATTGCAGCCCCGGCTCTATGTGTGTATGTGTGTGTGTGTGTGTGTGTGTGTGTGTGTGTGTGTGTACTGTATACTGCTCGTGACGTCCTCTCACGAAAGATGGCACGAAAAAAAAAAAAAGGAGAGCGGAGAGTACGACGCACCCCGATTTCGAGGCTGTGTGCAGTGCATCGATGCTCAGGTGTAAAAGGTTCATAGGACTCGGCATGTGCTATGGATACACACAACTCGTGCTTATATACAGCCACTCCTCGACGAGAATGAGAAAACGAGGTTTTTCGAGGCTATTTTTTGTCTCTCTTCTCTCCTTCTTCTTCTTTTTCTTCTTTTTTTTTTTGCACACGAAGCCAATTGCAAAGAGCGCGCCCCCAATGAGGAAAACGATTTGTTTGAACAATCGCTTTTAAATTTTAATAGAAACGTATGGAGCCGGAAAAAAAGCGAACGAATTCGCTATGGTACTGCTGCTAGGTGCTCGCCTCTTACTCTCTCTCTCTCTCTCAGCTCGTGAACTTTGCGAATGAATTAAGAAACTTAATTGAAGCCGGTGTGTTAGTGTGTGTGTGTGTACGTGTGCAAGAGTCACATTCGTTCGCGTAAAACGTTGACTTTAGCTTTTCTTCATAAAATTGATAAGAAAATGGGAAAAAGTCGGCCAAACTAAAGAAAATGAACTTTTTTTTCTCTCTCTGTGCTCGCGCGCGCGCAAAAAATATGCTTTCGGTATATAATGCTATACTCCCTCTTCCTCTCTCTCTCTCTAGAGGATATTTTCTCGAGTACAGCAAAATGCCTGGCCATACGGAGAACTTCTACTACTTTTTTCCAATGAGACCTAGTTCTTTCTCTCTCTTTTTCTACTGTAGAAATGGCTTACCTGCAGTTGGCAAGTTATAGCAGGAGCAGCCAGAGCTCTCGATGACTTTGGCACTCTCGTACGGAGGAAAGGTGGAAATCCAATATTTCCCAGAGAACGTAGCATATGATTTAAGAGAAATAATTTAGAGAAAATTTTCTATTCTCCCCCCGCGCACGCTCTGAAAACTCGGTTAATTACTCTCACTCTTTCACGACTACATAGAATAAAAATAGCATTTCTATACATTGAAAATATTATCATTAACGAGTGATTTAACTTTATTGCGCAGATACTGCTGGCCCTGGCCATATGCGCGCACAGCGCCCTGGCGGCGCCCCAGCTGCGCGCCATCGCGGTCGGCGGCGGCGGCTCGGACGCCGACAAGAACGCCGTCATCACGTCGCAGCAGCTCGAGGTCAACTTCGACGGTAACTACGTCAACAAGTGAGTATTTATACCCGGACTATATATACCTACTGTACTTATAGTACTGCGTATGCTGCAGCGTCGATGATGGACGAGAGGCAGCCGTGGGCCTGACAGGCCACCCCTATTGAAATTCCGAGCGTAGTTTAGCTCTTCTTGTGCTCTACTCGGCTCGCCTTAATATTAGTTACGAGGCTCTCTCTCTTGAGCTATTGGGAATTCGGCGTTTAACCCTCGTCGAGATTAAATTATGTTTTTTTTCTGTCACGCAGCTTCGAGACGAGCAACGGCATCAGCCATCAAGAATCCGGCGCGGCGAAGAACGTCGGGCCCGAGGGACCCTCGATCGTGTCCCAGGGCGCCACCTCGTACACGGCGCCCAACGGCGAGGTGGTGAGCATCCAGTTCCAGGCCGACGAGAACGGCTACGTGGCGCAGGGCTCGCACATCCCCACGGCGCCGCCAATACCGCCGGAGATCCTTCGCGCCCTCGAGTGGAACGCGGCTCACCCGGAGGAGGACAGCATCGACTCCGACAAGCCCGTCAGACCCATCGGCGGACCGAGAGGTTTGTGTGCGCCATTTTATTGATAACGGATTCGATCTCAAACCAATGCATTTGATTTATTTCATAATTAATTCGGCGACCCGAGGATAGAACAGATCGATTTAGCCTGTGCGAGGTGCTAAGTTTGGATGGAATTAAACGATAACCCGGGGAATCCAATATATACGAGCGAGGATATAACAATCGATCACGATTGAAAAGTTTCATTTAATTACCGACATTAGTTGACTCGGTCGACTGTAATAGTTTACACGCGCGGAGTGAAATACTTTGGGTTTTTAGCAGCTACTTCATAAACTATTTATTCAATCAATAATCCGACGAATACGAATGAAAACTCGGACGCTTTTAGAACTCAAAACGTTGGAAAAAACTTTACTCGCAAACGATCGATTGTTACTTCTCTGCTGTAAACAAAATTAGATCATTTTTTATTTAATACTTTTTTTCTATGCCTCTCTTCGGCATCGACTCTCGTTATCCAAGCTCGAGAGTGAATTCTTTCGAAGCCCCGGAGTTAATTTTTATCAAAATAATGAGCAAATAAGATCTGCCTCGAGAGCACTAATGAGAAAAGTTTGCTCCTCGCGCTTTTGCACACACTTGACTTCGAAATTCGAAGATTACCAAGTTTTACGAAAATCGACCGAGTTTTTGCAACTCTTGAAAAATTACATATAGATTGTTGAGGTACTCTGATTTCTCGCGCAGCGCAACTATGAAGTAAATTAATGAGTATGCTCCGTCTTTTTGCAGGTTAATTCTTCGTCCCACGACCGGATATATAGTAGAGCGTTCGGTTTCGATGCCAAAACCGTAGACGATGTAATGGAACGAAGCCACTTACAGCCAAGAGCCTCGGCTATATTGATTATCGATTGTTGAAGAGAACGAGCGAGGACCGACCCGATCATCTTCTACGGCTGACCATTGCGGCACGAACGAGAACACGATATATATATATATATCCGCAGCGAGCGCAGCGATCCCCTTCTTACCTCAACGAACAAACAAAAAAAGAAAATTAAAGAATTTATACATCTTCGAATAATGTAACTGCTAAGCATTATTTTTTTTTTATAACACAAGTCGCGTATACCGATTGAATCCGAGTCGGGCGTTAATGGCATGAAATAACTTTTTACCTCAGAATACCGCTTAATTAATTGAATCAAAGTTATTATATTAATGAATTATATATAATATATATTTTATATTAAAAACACAAAAAAAACATTTATACAATAATATCTTTATATAAATCAGATGAAAACGAGAGATATACGCGAGTGCACTGCGATTTGCACGCGTACACGTCGATAATATTACACGTTGTAATGACAGAGACTGTACACGCCGAAGTTACCGATTGAAACGCATGCGTATGGTAATCCACACGATTGAGCGACGACAAGTATATATGATTATTATTATTATTATTATTATTGTAACGGACGCCTCTTTCCTTTTTACGCAATATACCAACCGATAGCGCGGATAAATTTTAAAGTCTTCGATGAACAAAACAAAAAGAAAGAAACTGTGTTATTGCTTCGTTACGATGCACTTCGAGGCGTATAGAAAGATTATTTTTTGGAATGTCTACATCGATTTATAAACAATATATAAACATTTATACTCAATTTGTGAACAGCATTTACCATCACTACTGATATTGTGATTTCTACTACTTATATGTAAATAAAGAGTTCCGCCTGATGACTTTTCAGAGTTTTCTTTTTAACGCGTCAATGCCCCCTTTTAATATTTATAATATATTAATTTACATATTTAATTCGGAATATTATTAATTTTATTCGTGAAAGTCGATCATGTTCATACAATGAAATATATATTAAACAATTTCTTTTCATTAACCATAATCGCTGCGCAGCCCGATATTAATTCGGGCGATGATAATAGCCGCTTAAACACGTGTAGCGCGAAAGAATCGTTATTATTCAAATTTTACAATGAAAGAGAAAACGATCGATTAAGTTGGCGTTAAAAAATGCGCGTAAGAGCAAACGAACTGGCAAATTTTATTCCATCATTGTTCGTTCGGACGATTTCATACAAAACAATTATTACTCTTGATCGTTTAAATACTCGTGTGCATTTTTGTAAAATATTTAGTAAACTTTAATTACAGTGTAGTGTTTTTAATAAATATACCGTGAAGCTTATTTATTAATTTCTTTGTTTATATTTATTTACGATTTTTCGCTTTATTCGCTATCTTGCATCCACGTATTCCACAAATACTGAAATTCGATAAGTCGAAAATGCAACAAAGTACAAAGTTGGATCATCATTATCCGCGCGCGAACACGTTCGAATGAAAACCAATGAATTCAGTCAATCTCTCTCTCTCTCTCTTTCGTCGTTCCGTTCGCTGTACTGGCAATAAATAGGTTTCAATCCGATTAAAAGGTCCAAGCGAGAGAGAGAGAGGAGCTTTTAGAGCATCTGCTAGTGTCATTTCAAAATGATGCTTTTTCATCAATTTCGATTCGAATCCGTGTAGCGCGACGACTATCCGATAATTTTCCCAGCGTTTATTATACGCACTCGAAACAAAAATCTGGTAGATTCAAATCTCGAAAGCTGAATAAACCGAATCGAGTTGTCAATTTTCGATGTTTAAGGTATGGAAAAAGAACGATTATCAGCTGATAGATGCCAGCGAAATTTCAACCCCTTTGGTAATTGCAATTACAACGACAAAAAAAATTCAATAGCGGTCTAATAGTTTTCTATATACCCGAAATAGTAGATTTTCTTACTTCGCCTCGGCGCCATTATCACGTGCATGCGGAAGTTTCATTTCTCCCGTGTAAGAAATAGTATTTTTTTCCATCCCCGCGCAAAAGTTTTTATAAAATTCTCCGATAAGATTGAAATAACTCATAACAATATAACCACGATGTGATCTATAACTACACAACTTCATTTTTTCAGGTTTGGAATCTGTTATGACATCTAGCGGTTAAATCAGAAGTTCGTTGCCAATGAGGGTATAAATAAAATGTTTATGTTCTACGATCTATTTGCTTCTACAGACCTTTCATTGTCGAATATGATGAGGACGAAGCCCGAAAATATTAATTTGAGATGAGTAATTATGAACATTTTTTCCTCAGAGTCTCAGTAGTTTTTTAAGTATAGTATGGTAATGCTAATGAATGAAGCAGCTAGGCTCTAATTAAAAACCAAAGAGTGAAGATTCATTGATTTATAATTTTTAGTAATAGAAAATTACTGGAGTCATGAGTAAAAATTAAAAATTGTTTCCTAATCACTTTTGGATATTGTTGTGAACCACTCGAGGTTTCTAAAATTATCAATGCAATGTATAAAACTTATAATTTATAATTTTGCATCGTTCGATTCGTAACAGATCATATCACGATTGATACTCAATCAAAACCATCTCAATCATAATCGATCGAAAATTGCATCGGCCGGTCTTTTTCATTTTACGAATCGTCGAAGGCACGCGTGTCAGCCACACTGTACAAGCGAGTGTGCACTTATATTCTCTATAAACGCACATCGTGTGTATCGTATATTGAAGCGCGCCCGCGGCGCAAAGGAAGTGCGGGAGCGACGCAGAAAATTACCGAGCTTTCGAGTAAAGTAGTTGATGACACTTAAAAGGAACGCGCCGAAGGAGAATTCAATCCACGCGCACGCCTATATCGTGCGTATATAGCAGTGCGTAATTTAATTTTCGAGCACGAGCCCGTAATGTTATTACGCGCTTTGTCGTTTGCTTCGTCGAGTCGCTGCGACTCTCTGATTTGGGCTGCGGTGGACACCTTAAAAAAATGAACTTGCAAGCTCATCGATCCTCGAAAGCCCAAGAAAAGCTCGGAATCCGAGTATATATACGCGCGCGCTTGTAAGCGCATGCCTCATTAGACTATATACGAATCATCATCGCGTCGGTATGCTCGATATACACACGCGGTCGAGTGGCCCGCTGCGAAATCGACCTTGCGCCTCTGGCTAACTCGGTAGCATCAGCGGCAGCGGTGGCCTATTAGAGAGTGCGTAACGCCGTAAAGAGGGTTAAACCACTTCTGCGCGGCAGGATGACGTCGTCAATCGTCGACGACTGTACTACTACAGCATCGTGCCGATCACGCTTGCGGCCCATCGCTCCAGCTAAGCAGCGGCAGTAGTAATACGCGTCGCGTGGCCGAAGGGCAGCATCAAGAGCGAGTCGTCGTGTGTACGCAGGGGCCAATCGGATGGCGCTGCATCGGCCGCCTACCACAACTCGGTACTCGGCGGCGACTCATCATCGATCGGCGAGATCGCGAGAGCGAGCTGCCTGCAGTTGGCAAGCTGATCGTCGTCCCGAGAGATGATTGTCATTCTCGTGCCGTTCTTTTTGGGTCGGTATTACATTATAGCACGCACGCAGCGCACGTACGCACGTTGTAAAAGGCGTCATAATTACGCATTGTCTCGCTGACCCCTTGTCGATCAGCCGTATTATATATAATATACATGCTGCTGCTATTTTTGCTCTGATCATTTTTGCTCTCTTTATATGATCGTGTGCTGTTTGGTGCAAAAATAATTAGCGAATCTTATTATTGTGTGCTATATATAACGTGCTCCGTTTGATTCTGAGGCTTGATATGTGTGCATAGCTTTGTGCCTACTTAGTGCGGATTAAATATCTCTGATTTCTATATGGTGAATTGTTTAAAGCTGCGATTACGTATAACATGCTCATCAGTAATTCCAATCTTTTATTACGATTATTTATGCACCTAATTGTTTGTATCTCTCTTTACACGTTTATTTTCTTAAAAGCTATGAACTATGCGCTTGAAATCATTCGTCATTATTATATTCACATCTTTGTCAATGAAAAAATTCATTTTCGCTTTCTCTTTTATTAGTCTTTCATCCATTAAGCTTTAAAGATTATATAGTGTTATCTTCTCTTCTTGCAAAGACCCTTCTATTCTTACGAAGGTTGAATTTTCTTGCTAGGTAATTCGGGTTTTTTCATCGGCTTGTGAATTCCGTCGATGAGGGTAGGGTTGGGATGATTAAGGGGGCCCCGAATGAATAACCAAGTAGTGATAATTGTGAAATCAGTGGCAGTACTGGCGTTACGTTTATTCGGATACAAACATCCTGTTAGCAAAGTTCATTATTAATCATGACTAAATACACCGTTACTACTAATTAGCTTGTTTTTTTGCGATTGTCATGTTGGAATTATTACATACATGACAATGATCTGAAACTGGCTGTTAAATTGTTTCAAAAGATGGAGACCACTTTTCGACCCTTTTAATACAACATTTAAAGTTTTTGCCACTAGATGGCGAATATCTTAAATTGTAAACTTGCAAGTGGTAAAGTCAAAATAAGTGTATAAGTGTATAATCACAGGGCACGCATTTCGTGTTTATTAATACGTTAAAATATTGAAGAAAAAAAACTTTACACTTTTGATTCCATTTCCACAGCCTCTCTTCATACGTCCAAAAAACTTTCTTGTTGGCCAAAATCTAGCCATAAAATGTCAAGTATTTCTTCCTTATAAAATCGAATCAAACAACGACAATATCGACGCGTTACGCCAAGCTCGCATCGGTATGCACATAGGTATATACACGTAGCAGTCGTCATTCGTCCTAATCCCCGCATTCGGAAGAAAGCCCTTCTTGCGTAACCCTTTCCTTTTGCTCGGCTCTGCTCTCTCACTTCAGCACACGACGACGCTAATTCGAACGCGCTAATCGTTATAAAGCCTCGGCGAAGCTCTCGAGAGTTTTAGCCTCTCTCTCTGTCTCTGTCTCTTTGCGCGCGCGCCAAGCGAAAACCAACGCGTGCTACGGGTATAATAAGGGCGAGACGGAGAGAGAGAAAAGGGATAATTATTTGGACTAAAGTGACTAAATTTAGGGTGGACAGTTATGCGTGTACGCGCGTCTAGGAACCAGCTCGATTTATCTCGGACCGAGAATCTTAATGCCGACACGATTCGCTCTTTTGTGTCTGTGTGTAGGATAGGTACGAGCGAGCGAGCAAGAAACGGCTACTACACGAGATTTTCGGGCTTTTCTCCGCAGACTCCGTAGAATAGAAGCCATGGCATGGCATGGCATGGAGGGTGGAGTTTCTTGTCGGTTAGCAAGAGAGGAAAGCAAGAGAGAGAGAGAGAGATAAGGTATATATAAGGACGATGCCTTGGAGAGATTCAATTCGTTTGAGAGATTATTGAGGCGAACTTTCGAGTCAAGTACGCCCTCTTCGCCTGAATATCTCAGCTCTCTCTCTCTCCCTCTCTCTCTCTCTGGGGCGATTTGTTTTTATGCTGCTGGCTTTTCCTTTCTATCTATCTATCTATATACAACGCGTAACATCGCACGGGGCACGTATACGCGATACAGGGTGTATATAACTTTCTTATATTTTCGTTAATGCAACTCACGATTCTTCTTTCTCTCTCTTTTTTTTTATTCTTAACGATAATCCGCGGGTACGTGTACGCCAAGCCGAACGAGCGACTAATATTTATATATAGATAAAAAAAATTCTTCCAAGTGCCCAATAATTTCGTATGATCATTCGCGAGCTTTCTAATTCATGGCCAATAGTATTTACGTCGTAGGGTGAACGGAGGGCACGAACGCATATAGCAGGCTTAAAAAACAACGACGTTAACGTTATCAACCGGTCGAGGTCGGCCAGCTCATTGACCGTGGCTCGATTCGAGGGCAATTCACATACGCGACGCGTGTGCGTGCTCGCCTATATTAAGCCATAAAAGTGGGTCCTCCGGCCTCAAAAGGGGGGGAGCTGCTTCTCTCTTGCTGTGTGCTCTTCGTATATTGCATACTATACACTATACGCCGAAGACGGATCTCGAGCACGTACATAACGTATTCTATAACGACTTGACGACTCGAGGCGCGCGCGCATTTACATGCACCACTTCTCGCTTGTCCCTCGTAATTCACACAGCTTGTGTGTTATGTATACGGGTTGATGCAAGCTCGCATGCTGACACTCGCGTATACATATAAGCATGCGCCTAACGACTGACGGATCGTTGACACGTACTCTTACCTCATCTTCTCTGCTATACTGCTACACGTTCTCCATACACGTCTGACTGTCTGTTTCGTACGTATTCGACGACGTGACGCCACGTATCCACAGCGGCGCAACTGCGGGAGGCCGGCTGGCCCCAGGGCGCCGGCGAGGCGCTCTACCGGTTCAGCGTCAACGCCACGGTCCTCGACGCGGCCGCGGCAGCCACCGGATCCTATCGTCATTCATCGTCGCGCCAGCACGACAATGGCCCGACGGTGGACCGGTCGACTCGCTTCGATCTGAGCTCGCAGCTGCGCTGTCGATTTCGCGGGCCCGCCTCGCTCGTCTGCCGCATGTGCGACACTCGGGCCGTGAGCTTCGCCTCCAAGGACCTGAATCCGGCCTCGCAAGCCTGCCCGATGCCCGACACCCTGCAGCATCACGCCGAGTACCAGATCGCCGAGGAGGCGTTCGAGATCAGTTTCGCGCATCAGGGCGTGGCCAAGATTCTCGTGAATCGCACCGTGTCGCCGCACGACCTCAACATCATCCGAGCGCTGGTGAATCAGTTCAACGTGGGGGCCAACATAGCCAAGCGGCGAGAGAGCGAGTTCCATCAGATGGAGAAGTCGCTGATCGGCAAGTGCGACACCATGTTTCGCGTTGTCAAAAATACCAGCAGCAGCAGCAACGCTGTTGATACTGGTCGCGTGTCGACAGTAGCGCAGGTAATTGATACGGTTTTTTTGCGTCTCTTATTTTCCTGGTAGGAATGCTCAACGTTTTGTTACGGATCAACGGAAAAGTTTCTTGGATATAAATGGGCAATTGGAACCAGTTATGAGTATAACATTTTTTATACTGAATTATTCCTCTAAAACATTCATCAATAATTTTTGAAATCAGTGCGTTACTTGTACAATTATTTTGACTGTGCCACTTGCAGATTTCCCGAAATAAAGGTACTCGCCACCTAGTGACGAATGCTGAAAGTAATATTTTATTATGAAAAATAGTCAAAAACTGGCCTATATCGTTTGAATAGAAGAAAATTGTCATTTTCAAGTAATGACTCCAATGCTCTTGACATTTTGAACACAATTTTAACTTTTAAAAATTTTAAATTATTTCGTCACTGGACCTCATAATCAATGTTGAGCATTTCTATCAGAGATTATTGTAAATACAATTTCGATCATCTTCAATTAACTCGGACATTTTTGCAGCAATACGAGATGCCACGCAGAGGAGCCAACGCGAACTGCTCGATCACTTGTAAAGACAAGGTGCGCATTTATCCATCATTTATTCATCCACGTAGAGAAATTTTCTCCAAATTTTCGATCTGAAATTAACAATTCGTATAATCGGAAAAGGGTACGAATTTAAAGCTCGGCCACGCGGCGGTGGCGGCTCTTCGTTTGCCGGCGAAATTCCTAAAGCTCACCCGAGCAGCAGCACGAGCAGAGCAAAAAGCTCGGCTCAGGGCGTATACATATTACACACCCCCAGCACATCCAAGCTCCTGTATACATACGTACACTATACATACCCGCATGCGAGATCTAACGCTGCTCGGGAGAAATTCTCAGACGGCGTACCTATATATACATATACGCTCCGTATATAATGCGATATGTACTTATGTCATAAGCCTCGATCCTCGGCTTGCAGCAACAGCAGCAGCAGCTCAACGGCGGCGGCAGAGTTTCAGCGTCAGCGGGCAAAGCATCCAGTGCTACAGCTACTGACGATGGCGGTGGCAACGGGCCGTGGCTCGACGAAGACTACAAGCTCAGCGGCTTGGAGAGCCTCGGCCGACGCAAGGGCGAGACTCTGAGGCTGGAGAAGTGGCGCAACGTACACAAGTGCAGCCTCAGGGCCGATTATTTCTTTGGCAGTCGCGAGAATCTACGCATGGATCCGTCCGACTTTGAGGCGCGCATCGTAAGTTTTTTTTTTTTTTAATGTATACGCGGCAAAAGAAAAACAGCTTAATGAGCAGCTCTTCAGCGAGCTCTCCTCTACTCTTTCTCGTTTCTTTCAACTTTTATATAAAAAAAATGTGATGATAATTGGCCCACAGGTCGCCTCCGAGAGTACGATCCACGTGTCGGACACGAACTTCGCCTCGTACACGGCCAACGAGGTGCACATCAAGCGCCAGCGCGGCGACGACCTCGTCATCTACGAGCGCTACGCCCTGCAGCTGGCCTCGATCGACGCCACGACCAACGTGGCGAGGCGGCCGCCCTTCGGCGTCGCCGATCCGGCCTCGGCGAGCGTCTACGCTTACCAGTACATCGACGACGAGGACGAGGAGTCGCTGGAACTGCAGGCGCCCCAACCGACGACGCAAAAACCACAGCAGCAGCAGCACAATAAACGTTCTCGTGCCACGCGAAGGTCCAAATACTCGGCGACTCGCGCGTAATTACCCCCTCGTCGTGTACAGCGATTCTTTGCAGTTTTTCTCTTTCTTTTTTTTTACTCTCAGGAAAAGAGCCATTATTACGTGTATGGAAGCCAGATGCAAATGAAATGTCTTCATTCGAGGAAAAAATTGCGGGGCTAGTTTATCGATCCGCGCAGGTGTACTCGCGGGTTAGATCGTATCGCTCTCGAGTTCCGACCCACTATGAGTAACAAAAAAAATTAAAAAAAGGAAGAAGAAGGAGATCTTGCAAACCAGTGCGAAGTTAGTTTTTATTACCCGCAAGCTGCAAATGTTATTGTTTTATTTTTGTATCGATCGCTCGAGTAAACAAATGAAATAAATCTACTCCGCCTTTGAACCAAAAAAAAAAAATACGAAACAGAAATGTTTAAACTAGCTACAGAGTATTTAGAATCGTACGAGGTATAAAAAGATATTTATTGATTACACATCTCTGGCAGTGGAGAATCGCAATGTTTATAATATATAAAAGAGAGGCTGAACGATTTTTTTTTCTTTTTGCCTGGATACGAGTTACGAGTAAGGATGTAAATAATTATTGTAATAACGATCACATTGTATATAATAAATAATGATGTTAAAATAGATTTATTATTCGAAAAGTATATAAATAAACTTTCGATGGCCGAAATCGTTGAACACCGTAAATCATCGTACGGCAACTTTTCTTTTTTTTTTTTCAACGACGATTACGAATTCGGAATGTTCCTCGGCGAAACAACTGCGCGTTATAAAGTTTTCGATACGCGCGTATAGGTATATACCCGAAAAATGCGAGAAAAAAGTCAGGAGAGGAATAAAAGCACTGCACATCGAGTGGATATGGATATTTCGAAAGGTACAGAAGAAAGGCAGCAGCAGAGGCGGCGGCGACGAGTCTCTCGAGTATAGCACAGCAAAAATGCTAGATCGTCGTCGTTGCACGGCGAACATGCACGGGGCGAGGCTAGGCGAGCAGACAACCATACATCGGGATAGCCTTTTTTTTTTTTTTTTGAAAAAATATAATGCGAGACTCGCTCGATACACCGAGTCTCTCTCTATGCAGACATTGTAATGGCTATATGCGCTTGCATATACTGCTGCTTCTGCATACACCGATACATTATAATGCGCAGCTCTCTCTCTCTCTCTCTCTGCGTTGTGTCGGAGTCACTCGCGTGTGATCCGCATGCCAAAAGCACACGAGGCGTACGGGACTAATGCACTACCATGCTACAGCCAGGTTACACGCATACATTATTACGTCTGCATACGGGTGTATGTGTGTGCATGTGTGCGTTATTATCCGCCCACCTATCCTTCGCACTGCATCAATAATTTAACGGCCGCGCGTAACGCACACACACACACACACACGCACACATTGGAAATTCGTCGGATCGCAGCAGGAGCTCGACTATACATAATGCTGCTTATATACCTGCGCTCGCCCCCGCAGTAGTAGTAGCGGTAAGTACAACTTCGCTTCTTCATCGCGTAATCTTTGCAGCAGCTAACGTAGCGTGCGGTTATCGCGCGCGCCGCATCATCTTCCTCGTGGACGAGTTACTCGTCGCTCCCGCAAGGAGGTGTACTTTATACAGCGCCGAGGCTCCCAGCGCTTTCCTATACACACTGCGCAGCTCGAGCTCGAGCTCTATATATAGCTGTGTGTAGTTGCGCGCACGCTTGTATAGATATCCGAAACCCCTCTGGGCGATGCTATATCTCGCTTTGCTGCTGCTCGAGAGCTACCTTATCAAAAACACCGCACCGAGCCGAGCCGAGGCAAAGTCTCGAAGATTCGAGCTTGCAAGCTCGACTTCGTTCTATGTGTGTGGGTTTTAGCTAACGTACACCCACACATCCAGCCCTCTCTCTCTCTAATGCCGGGCCATCGTTTATTTACCGCCTTTTTTTTTCTTCCATCTAAGAGAATCAAGAGAAAACCATGAGGAGAGTAGAGAGAGAGGAGGAAAGCTCGCTATCTTCGAACCAACCTGGGCTACACGTTTCGAGATAAGACATTGCCACCGCCAGCGAGTCGAGTGTGTATTATAAAGCTTTGATCGTGCGCTTATATTACGGACACAGGTTTTTGAATATCTCCTGACGAAAGCGACTCTTTTTTATACGCATTCGGAGGGATTTTTTTTTTTACGACCATCGCCGATTACATATACCACCCGAGAGCTTTTCGCGGATATATTCCGATATACGTATATTGAAATAAGAAAGAGGCAAATTCGTATAGAGCTCGTCGTCGGAACCAAAGCGCAAAATTTCGTACCGAAAAATGTCGCGTTGCGTATATATAAGAAGGAGAAAAAAAAAAGAAAAAAAGAGGAATTTCAAAGGCAAAAAGTCGGTACACGAACTCGCGAAGATTCAGAAGAATTTCCTCGGACGCTCGCAAGCTCGCTCTATACGGGTATAAAATCTTTCGCTGACCCGTGTTCACGTACAGAGCGCGAGCATCGATAGTACGTACGCGAGTAAAAAATGCAAAGCCGCGCGCGTGGCGAAGAGAGAGTTTGCAGCTTTTCCTCGCTCTGTATATACTTTTATATATCTGTATATATGGTTACGGTAGTGGAACGAAGAGAGAGAGAGAGAGTACATGTAAACGGACATTCCGGAGATAACTGCACACACACACACAGAGCGTATATTATACACGTCGCTTGTCTGCCTTTAGCTTATCCTACAGCAGCAGCAGCTAGCCCTAAGGTCGAGAACGAGACACGTATGTACGTACGTACGTGTATGTAGGCGTGCGCTAGCTGCGGCGCTGTATATATATTTCTCGATCGAGCTTCGCCTATGGTATAGTGCAGTGCTGCCGCTGACAGCGACCGTACGCCGCGGCGGCGCGTCGGATATTAATGGTCGCTGCTGCCGCTACTGCACAGGATGTTTTCCGGTTGCCGTACTGGGACACAAAGCACAGCTCCATATATATAAGCTATGCTATATGCATATCCCTGCAAGCTCGACCCTCATTATTACATAATACAACAACAACGACACAGTGGTGTGTACGGCGCAAAGATGTCGAGCAATATCTCGAATATTTTATCGCGCGAGCTTGCAAGCTGCAAGCACGGCATATTTTATTATTCTTTCGACTGTAGCAATAATAATAATAATAATAATAATATAGCCGCACGCTGGACTGATGGTGTGTCGGATACATACAGATGACGACGATGATGATGGTGGTAGTGGTGGTGGTGGTCGTGCGCGCGGCACACATTTATGGCTCCGCTGCCCTCTTTAACCAAAAGTTTCGCAATAAAAATTTATCTCTCCCTTCGCGTATATATATATATAATGTACCGCGCCTTACGCGTAGTACGTACACACGTCGTCGTATAGTAGTAGTCGCGGTCGCGTAGAAGCAACGATCACGCTCTGCTTTACGACGCGGAGGCCATCTACTACCCACGATATAAAAGTAGTGCGGTGGCATATACGCGCTTCTTTCGCGATGATGAAAAAGAAATTGTCGCGAGAAGAGGAAGAGGAGGAGGACGGAAAGAGACAAAGATAAAAGACAAATGTGTATTATATATATATAGTACGACAGCTGTGCGAATTTCGAATTTACGCGCGTTGACGTGTCGCCGAGGTCGTAAAACATTTATGAAGTTGGCCGTACAGTACCTGTGCGTGCGTGCGTGTAAGCAGGCATCCAGAGCTTGACAAAAATCGCGATATTCAAATGAGCTCCGGTGCGTTTATGTGTATGAATTGTGCAGCCGTCGCAAGCGTAAGGCAGAGAGAGAGAGAGAGAGAGAGAGAGAAAAAGTTTAGAGCGGCATACATAGCATGCGGACTCTGAGAGCTACAGGAATATATATGTCTAAGAGTAGGGCTATAATACGGGACGAAAGGGTTTTTCGTACGTGCCCGGTGTGCCGGAGCTACAGAGAGAGAGAGAGATCTCGGGCGTAAACCCCCATGCCTCGAGCTTTTTCTCGTGTATCTATGTATATATAGCACAGAGGCCGTCGTGCGCGTCGAGCCGGCCACCAGCACCTTAACGCACATGCACGTCGGAGCTTTTTCCAACGTATACAGCAGCAGCTACTGCCGAACGAGTTTAGAGCCGTGGATTTGTATAATCGCTCGCTCGGATCTAGAATTTCTCGAGTATAAGAGCTACATATAAGTTTCTTCTCCTGTGTCCGTCTGTGTGTGTGAGCGAGAGAAAGAGAGCCGACCCCCATGGACGAGTGTGCAGCTAGTTGCCACGACTGCTCCGCTATAGAGGCTGTTAATCAATGTGATATAGGACCGGCGATTTTTCTGGTCCGTGCGCAAATCTCGAGTGCATAGTACTTATATATAGAGTCTGAAAGGGAGAGAGCCGGAGCTTTTAATGGAGACTACTTTTTGTCGTTGCGCGCGTATAACGTTATATGGACAGCCATATAAGGAGAATCAAGAGTCGTATCCGTAGAGTGAGTGGATGTATATACGGCGAAGCAATAAACAGTCGAGATAAGCTGGCAATTACTTTGTGCCGCGTGTATTTTTCCGTGCGAGCGAAATTATAGGTGTGTGCGTTTGATTGGAAAGCTTATGACTGGTACGGCATGCATGTACAAGAACTGCGTTTTGATGCCTCGACAAAGAGTTTCCTCCTAAAAAATGTGGATAAGAATGAGAATCTTGTGAATATTCTAAAAAAAACTGTAAAATCAAATGTAGGTGTAGATAATGTTTAAGAAGCATCAGTGCGATACAGCCCACTGAGATAATAATTATGAGCTAGGTTGAGTTTTTTCATGCAAAAGCTTGAATGTAAACCTTTACTGTTTTTTATAAAAAAATTTATTTTCATGTCATAATAGATCTAACTAATACATAATACAAATCTTGCACACGATTTCTCAACATCGCCGTCTGAAAAAAAAAAATTAAGAGCAGTTTAGAAAAAAATGTATAAAGTTGATCATTTAACGATTACAGAAAGAAAGAGAAATACATTTTATTACTTTTTGGAGGGACTTGGCATCACTTCTGCGTCTTGGCTCTCTTCTCCGTCGGAATGATTTCGCCTACTCGGCACGGCGCTACCGTTCGTCGTCGTCGTCGTCGTCCTTCCTAACCCCCCGAAAGGATCCAGCCCCCATCGCTGGAAAAAGTCCGCGGACATCATCTCGCACAGGTGCGTCGTGCACGCCACGACGTGCTCCTCGGCCAGTCGATTAAATTCCTGCGCCTCGGCGAGTCTCGCGTAATCCTCGTAGGCGAGGGCGGGTTCCACCCGCGGCATCCGCGAGCGGGTCAGGTCGTACAGCGTGAGACTCGGCCGTATCGCGATCTCCTTGGCCAGACTCGCGAAGTCCTCGTCGTCGTGCCAGGACTCGAGACGCTGCGACGCGTCGAGCGCGAGGTGGTCGAAGAAAAACGACGCGATCGTGACGACGTGCCGGCGTTTCACCTCGAATCCACGGCTCTCCAGGCGTTGGACGACTTGCATCGTTCTCGCCGCTTCTCTCAGCTTGAGGCCCTTTCCCTGGTGATCATCGACCCTCTCGAAACAGATCACGTTCGGAAAGACGAAGCTGGCCAGATCGGCGCCGCGTGTCAAGAGCGTCTCGACCATACGGGGCAGACGATGCATCACGGCCAACTGCAGCGGCGTCCAGCGGCTCTTGTCCTTGACGTCCACGCGCAACGTCGCGCGCGCGTCCTCGATTATCCGGAAGAACGTCTCGGCCAAGCCGTCGTCGATTTTGCGGGCGGCGATCGAGTGCAGAGGCGTCCAGCCTCGCCAATTGGCCAAATTCGAATCGGCGCCGTGCCTCAGCAGCAGATCGGCGTACACGTCGTTGCCGTGGTACAGAGCCAGATTAAGGGGCGTCCAGCAGAGATCGTCCTGAGCATCGACGATCCGCACCTCCTTCCCCAGTTCGTCGCAGATCTCGAAGAACTTGTCGCCCAAGTCGTCGTCGTCGTCGTCGTCGTCGTCGTTTTCGTCGTAGTCGTCGTCGTCGGCGGCCAGTCGTTTCTTGGCCATTATGTGCAGAACCGTGGAGCCGCTCCTCGTCGCCGAGTTCGGATCGGCTCCTGCCCTCAGCAGCGTCTCCATGACTCCCCTGTGTCGCCTGTACAGAGCCAGATGCAGCGGTGTCCAGCCGTTCTTGTCCCGGGCGTCGACCACGACCGTCTTCCGTAGCTCGCCGCAGATCTCGAGAAATTTCTCCAGCAAGCCGTCGTCCTCTTTTTTGCGACACGCGATACTGTGCAGGGGTGTGTATCCCCTCGCGTCGGCCGCGTTCGGATCCGCGCCCCTCCTCAGCAGAATCTCGATGTGCCTGCGTTTGGCGTTGCTCAGAGTGTGCTGCAGCGGCGTCTTGCCCGTCTCGTCCATGGCGTCGATGATCCGCGCCGTCGTCTTGCCGATCGCCTCGACCTGCCGTAAAAATATCTCCGGCAGCTCGTCGTCGGTTTTACCCTGGCAGACGAGGTGCAGAGACGTCAATCCCTTGGCGTGGATCAGGTTGGGATCGGCGCCACCTCTCAGCAGCGCCTCGACCACTCTCGCGTTGCGATAGTACAGGGCCAGGTTCAGGGGCGTCCAGCCGTACTGGTCTCGGGCGTCGACCAGTAGGGGCTTGTGCGCCTCGCTGCACAGCTCGAATATCATAGTCACCAAGTCGCCGGCGTCATCCGCGACCTCGTCGTCGCCGAGTCTCTTGCAGACGGTGTGCAGAGCCGTGGATCCGTTCTCCCGGGTCAGATTGGGATTGGCCCCTCTTCTCAGCAGCACCTCGGCCATCTTGCGTTTGCCCTCGCGCACTGCCAGATGCAGCGGCGTCCAGCCGTCCTTTACCCGGGCGTCGACCAGCACCTCGATCTTCCTCTTGTCCACGCAGATCTCGAACAGTCTCTTCAGCAGCACGTGGTCGTCGTCCTTGCCCTTGCAGATCCTGTGCAGAGCCGTGGATCCGTTCTCCGATCTGCTCAGGTTGGGATCGGCGCCGTTCAGGAGCAGCGCCTCGAACGCCTTGGCGTTGCCCCGATTCAGGGCAGCGAGCAGCGCCGTCCAGCCTTGATCGTCCACGGCGTCCACCTCCACCCGTTCACCGATCGCTCTGACTATCCGGAAAAACTCCGCGGCCAGATCTTCCTCGGTTTGGCGATGGGCCAGATGGTGCACGGGTGCGAAGCCGCCGCTGGTGAGGCGCGCATTGGGGTCGGCGCCCCATTTCAGCAGCGACTCGATCGTCTTGCGTTTGCCGTAGTACAGGGCGTAGTGCAGCGGCGTCCAGCCCAGCGTGTCGCGGGCGTCGATCGCCACGCTGCGCCCGATGTCCCCCACGGTCTCGAGGAACAGCTCGGCCATGCGATCGTCGCCGCCCCTGATCCGGCAGATGATGTGCAGATAAGTCATCGCGCTGGCGTTCCCGTCGGGGCAGCTCCGATTGGGATCCGCGCCCCACCTCAGCAGAGCCTCGACGATCGGTCTCTGTCCGGCGAGCAGAGCGAGGTGCAGCGCCGTCCGCTCTTTCTTGTCCTGGGCGTCGATCGCTATCGTACGACGTCTCTCCGTGCAGATCTCGAACATCGTGTCGATGATCGCGGCCACCTCGACGTCGTCGCTCTCGGCCACCGTGCAAGCCGAGTGCAAAACCGTCTGTCCGGATTTGTCGACGAGATTGGGATCGGCGCCGTGATCCAGCAACGCCTCGACGACGTCCCGCTGTTTCGCCAGCACGGCCAACTGCAGCGGCGTCTTGCCTGTCTTTCCCACCGGCAGATCGGGATTCTGTCCGAGATCCAAGAATTTCTCCACTATATCGGCGCATCCCAACTCGCAGGCCACGTGAAAGTGCGTCTGGCCGTGCTCGTTCTCGTAATTCGCGTCGTAGCTGTCGTAGATCTCGAAGAGCTTCAGGGCTATCTCTTTGCGCAGATGGGGCACCTGATCGAGGGCGAGATGCAGGGCCGTGGCGCGACGCAGCCGCGTCGGCTCGCCCGCCTCGTCCACGTAGGGCGCGTCCCTGTAGCCCGTCGCGTGGACGAACTCGAAGAAGGGCAGCGTCTCGATGTCGTAATCGAGCACGAAGTCACCGAGCATCCAGTCGATCTCGTCGCGCGCGAAGAAGTCGCGCAGATCCGGCAGATGGTCCGTCCAGTCCCAGATCAGAGTCTTGAATTTACCGAAGAGCGCGCGACGTTCCGCTTGTAGGCCCCAATCGAAGCGTTCTCGCAGGCTCCGCAGTCTTTCCAATCTTTGTGGGCCCGTCAAGGGGGGCACGGCTGGATCGAGAACGATGATGGAATCGTCGCTGTCGCTGAGATCGTCGTCGGTAATGGTCATCTCGAGTTTTGCACGCACTTACGCGTACACGGACGATAACGACGCACTGTAGTTTTTTTTTTTCTTTTTTTAACGAATATTGTCACTGTTCGCGCGATGAGACATGACGCTGTAGACACATAAACAGACCGAGCGCAACTATATAACTACTGCTACTTTGCCGGACTGTAAATATACAATTGTACAGTGTACACGTGTCGTTACTCGTTCGATGCGCGAGAAACCAGTGCGAACGCGCACGGCGGCGCTCGCGCGCGCGGGAGAAAGAGCGAGACAGATATACGACGCCTTATATACCGACTACAGAGACGCTGCGTCTCAAAGTCAATTACTTACATTGCTTTTTTTGCTTATACTGCGATTTATGAGCATAGACTGATGCGAATGAGGTATTAGCTGCAGCAAGAGAATGAGAGAGACAGAGTGATAACTAACAAAGGCACGGAAGCCAAGCGCGTACTGTAGCTTACGGCAGCCGAACACGTGGTCACGGTCGTCCGAGTGACGGTCACGAATCGACGACCAGCTGATTCGCTCAGAGGTATTGCGAACTGACGTTTCGACGCGCGATTCTTAATGGTAAATTGATTCACTATGTATATTATCTCACTTGCGTCTCGCTGTATGGCTATCTGCTCGCACACAAGGACTCTCACATGCAGGCCCAAATTCTTCTGATCTCGCTGCGACGACAGTAGCAAGTTCGTTACACACTATACTACACCGCATTAAAGTGGGGGAAGGCAGCATAGGCCCGCGCCGCCACTGCTGCTGCGACTCGGCGGGCGATGCGCGCGCACGCACGGAGAGAAAACTGGAGGGGAGGGAAAAATGGGAGAGCGTATGCGGCCACGCGGGATTTTTGCAGCCTATGCGGTTCGACCTGAATTTGGTACGGTTTTAATGTATGATACAGTCAACGAACTCTATTATAATGATTTTCTTACATGCTTTTTCGAGTTGCAATACAAAGTATGGAGTTGGGAAGTTTTGGTTCTGGCTTGATTAAAAACGAAAAATCCTTGTGCTCTTACCAAATGAAAAAATGAAGGCAAAAGCGTTGGGCCTGCTCTCGTGTTTTGATGTACTCGAAGGTTTCGACTAGTTTGCGCTAGATGGCGCACGACCTAAATTTGACTCCCATAAACGACCTGTTAAGCCTCCTCGATAAGTATGGGTCTAAAATTCTCCAAGTTCCGCATGTGTTCAGCAATCTTTACCCCACAGCGTCGGAATGGAAGTCGAGGGTTAAAGAGGTTTTCGCTCACACCGCACGTATGCGTGAGCAGATTTTAATTATTTTATTTACGCAGAAAATATCTGCGTATGGCCAGTCGATGTGAAAGATATATAAATATCGCCAACGAATTATCGCAATAGCGAGTACATATCTCGCTAATATAAGCAAGCTACAAAACGAGACTGCGGTGCCTCGTCGTCGCCCCCTTATAAATAGGGATCGAATTCATTTCCCGATTCTTGGTCTGTTGGCGCATCCTGCCTCTTTCTCCGTATCTTATCGCGTTACAAAATTCAAGACAGAAATCAAACGTATATATCTATTCCATCTCTATATACACTCGGCTCTCGTTCTCGGTCGCTCGCTGCATAAATACCACTCTGATAAACATTATGCGCGCGCGTTGTGGGGGTGAGGATCGACTCGCGGAGAAACTCAATCAATAATTGCTGGGCCATTGCAAATACCATGCCTCGCAAGTGCGTTTGTACCACTACTACCGGCTGGGGAGCTGGCGAAAGTTCGTTTGCTCTCTCTCTCTCGCTGGCAGCTCGTTCTCTCCGCGGCTTCAAAAGCTTCATTGAAAAGCCATGCCGCAGCAGTAGAATGCAGTGCGCTCGCTGCACACACTCTCGATTCACGAACCCTCGCAAACCGGCGCTATGTATAGAGTATATATATATAACTTTGCAGTTAGCCGGGTATAATATAAGAGAGAAAGAGAGTAGTGAGCTTGCAGCGAATATAAAGGCTATATAGTTCGGTTCGCGAAGGCGCGCGCTCGATTAATCCGTCGAGGCCACTTGGCAGCGCGCGCGCGCGAGTTCGACTATATATATATATACCTGCAGTGCAGAAAGAGTATAGAAGCTGAAAACGTGGATAAGTGCGCCGTGGCGCGGCCCGGTCGAAGCCGCGTTGATTTCTCGCTTCCGGTCGTGCACGTGCTCTCTCTCTCTCTCTCTCTCTTTCTCTGCAGAAAAAATACCCGCTCGCGGCTCGAGAGCTCCGTACTTTTTTTGCGGTGAAATTTTCTTCGATCTTTTTTTCATCAACCCTTAGTTCCCTTCGATATTCGAGCCCACGAGTCCCTTTTGAAAAAGCGCGCCATTGTCGCTCCGCGATCCAAAAACTTTCGGCGCGATATTCGACTATTTAGACAAAAACCATAATACGGGTATTCACTTTTTTTTTCATTTGTTTTCGCGAGCGTTCGAAAAAAATCATCAAAAGCCCAAAGTTTTCATTCGTAATTTATAAAAAAGCTCGCAAGACATTCCCCGGCAAATTCAATCGCTCGATCATCGGCTGAAACTATTAAGCTACTAACTTGCGCGAGCGCGCAATAACGCTAGAAATTCCTTAATAGCAAAAGCGAGAGAGAGAGAGAGAGAGAGAGAGAGGACTAACCACACCCAAAAGCCTCGAAAGTCGAAGAACTACCGTGTACCTATACATACCCACTACTGATGTTGCTGTAAGTATAACACACAGCTCCTGCACCGATCGCTGCTTAGCTGACCCGTTGCCATATACACGGTGCCATGGTGAACGAGTGAGTGAGTTGAGAGAGTGAGAGAGAGAGAGAGATAGAGAAAGACGCCCGAGGCGCGAGAGCAAACTCTCTCTCTCTCTCTCTTTCGCTTCCCAACGAACGTGTATATGTGTGTGTGTGTGTGTGTACAAAGAGAGAGAGAGAGAATCTCAAAGGCTCGCAGTACGGAACAAAGGGCAGAGCTCGTTACACGCCTCGAATGAATTTCCCATCTCCGGAGCGAGGAGCTTCAAGCAGCACCAGCAGCACCGGCAGCAGCGGCATTGAAGGCAAAAGGCGCTTTGAACTATATACGAGGAATACGCGATGGGGCGATCGCTCCAAGAGAGAGAGAGAGAGAGAGAGAGGATCGCTTGATCCCTTGGACGCCTTTGCAAATGTTTGCTTGCTGCAGCACATCGCCGTTACGTCGTGGCCTGCTTTTATCATCATCATCGTCCCACGTAGCCCTTCGTGTATAACGATGCGCGTATGTGTTTATACCCCCAGAAAGGATTTGTAATACCCCTAACCCCCGGCACGACGAGTGGTACAATTTCGCATTATTATTAGCGGGGCTGATGTTGCCACGAACGAGCGAGCAGCTACCGCGGCGGCGAGCTACTCGAGACGAAAAAATCGCCGATTTTTAACCGACCAAAGGAGCCATTTCGCAAAAGTATTAATTTATTTTCCCAAGAAATTGCCTCTTAGTCTCGTTGTTTAAAAGCTTTATCTCGCTGATTGAATGTAACGTTTTATATCGCGGTGATTATAAACGAAGATCAAACGCGACGAAATGGCACTCGAGCTTTAATGGCTGTGTATATGGAAAAAGAAGCTGATTTTCGAAACAATTTCCGAGATCGCTATATACCGCGCAAAAAAGCTCGACGATGCTTCGCTACGCCCTTGAAAAATCAAAGCGTGTGCCTATAAACGCGCGGCCAAATTCAATACACCCGCGCTCTCGTATCTGCATAAAACTACCGGCTATATATGTATACGAGCTAGCGGATCGAAGATTCACCCCCTTGCAAAAACTCAAGCTCTCGATGTATACGAGACAGAGCTATAAAGCGTGCAAAACTGGCGGAATAGAACAATTTACCTCTCGGCAGCCCCGTACGATATGTGGCCAAATTTTCGTCTTGCTTATATATGGAGAACTTTTGGTCTGCGAAATTGAATCTTTCGAAGATGGAACGAGAGGGTGCGCAAGCTGTTGTGAGAGCGAAAAAAATTAAAAACAAATTATCGAGAAAAATGAAGGTAGATTTTAAATTATTGAATGAGCTACAGTTTCTCCCTTCGAAAAAAGAAACAAAAATAATTGAAATTGGCATTTGCAACTTTTGATCTTGAGCCGATATCGTCCCGTCGTTCCAGCTTGCTATTGATTTATTTCGGAGCTATTTTGGCCATCTGGAATCATCGCTTCTCTTCCTCCCTTATTCGATTAGTTCTTACCCATTACCTTTTTCTATTAGTTATTCGTTGATTTCCTTTTTACGGGCCAAGTCAAGGTTGAGAGATTTGATTATTCCGCTTGACTGTCTTCGATCTTTCATTTTTGTTTTCATTTTCAACTACTCCAATAGATCATCATCAATCGAGTATATTGGCAATATATTTTTAGTTATTCAAATCAATTTTTATCTTCACAATAAATTAATTATTTATAAGATGAATAATCAATACATTTATACGAGAGTAAATGGTGGGTGAAAAGATTTCGATAGCAAAATTAAGTTATGATTTGTACAAACTTTTATTGTTTGATAATTATTTACAATATTAACAAAAAGGTTAATTTTTTGGAACATTAAAAATTAACCGACAATTATATTTCCACTATTCGTAACTAAACTCAAAATAATTTGAGTATAGACGTAGCCAGTTCCTGTACGAAATATTATCGTAAAGCAGAAACTTCGCATTGAAAAACAATAATCTCGATATAATCATAATGAATTTCTTGTTTGATACATAAATGCTACTATCATTGGAAAAAAATAATGGAACACTTTGAATATTTTTCTCTTTTCCATCATATAGAAATTGAACATTTCTAATACATTAATGCTAATATGTACATTAATATTAACTAAATAAGCAAACATCTCTTGCGTTGTTTTTAAATAACGTATTTAGGACAATATTCACGGTGCAGAAACAAAATTTTAAGCGACACAATTACAGGCAACATTTATACTTGATCAACACAGATATCAACAATCTTTTGCCCGGATCATAGGATGAGGGCGTGCTTAATTAATTTTGAGACGAGCAAAGTTTACAAAAAAATTGAAAAAAAAAATTAGATTAAAAAATTACGTTATGGTAATGAAGAATATTATATAACATGCATAACAAGAGAAAAAGATATTTTACAAACTCTCTGCGCTACAAATTGGAACAACACATGAATTTTTTTATATACTCGTATGCAAATCAGAACTGCGTTATACACGCGCACAAGTTTTTTCATTCATACGGGTGTATGCATACTGATATATACCTAGAGCATTTCCGCTGTTTTCTTTGATTTAAAGGTTCGACCAATTCCTAGCTCATGAAAGTACACAATTTACGCACGCACACATTTTATAGTAAATTTTTTTTTATTTTTGCATTATTTGCAGACTGAATATGGGCAAGAATGTAATACAGTACCCGCACAACCGCTCCCTTAAGATTACGAGCATAAGTTTGTTTGCACACAGAAAAAGACACTTGTTAACCTTTTTTGATGTGGTAAGTAACGGTCTCAACACCCTTCGTATAAAACCATTTAAGTTTACGCCCCTATCACACGCACACACGTATCGTACATTTACAAATCCTAATTATGGCCTGCCTTTGTTAGACAACTAACGAATCGAACTTTGTTCTCTATCTGTCTCTCTGATATACCGCAGCATCGTTGCTTTCTGGTTCTGTTTTTGTTTTCTATACAAATGACATATACTTTTACATATGTATTTATATGATATATATTTATATTTTTATATATATAATTTTTATATATTTATAATTTTTATGTGTACACATACGAAAGCACAAAAGATTGCTTCGTTCCTTTCTAGATAGGAGAAAAAACTCGGGTCTTTGTTAAGACACCTTGTTGATTTGTTGTACTGAAGTAAACATGAAATATACGCGTACTCCCGCAGAGAAACAAACGCTCAACGTTAACAAGCCATTCATCAAAGGGTAGTTTCGAGATATATACACAAGATTCTACCGCGATACATGAGTTTTGCTCAAAACGACTAGTCTCACAATTATTTCACAGCTTAAAAATTGTTGTTATAATAGATTTACATCATTCGTGATCGCAGCAATATTTACAGGAAAATACTCAACTAAACCGATGTGCCATCGTTGCACGTTAAGTTACAAATTATAATTATTATATATAAAAATTTGTCGTTATACTTTATGCTAGAAACTTAAGTTATCTAAATTTTTTCGAGGTACAGTTTTTTCCGTTATTCCTGCGACAGAATCTGCAACAATTGAGCAAAACTTGCGAATCTTCGATACTCGAACTACGTCACACCGACACAATCACACACGCACGCACGCTCACATACCAATTGTTAAATTAATCCTAGAAAAAAAAACACTTAATAAAATTAATTACACGGTTTGATCGCTTTCTTATAAGACAAAAAAAATAAAACAAAAAAGAAAACTAAGTCAAGTGATCACAAATCGTCGTGAGAGGTATACACTTGCACGAAACAACAACAAAACACATTGTCAGACACGCTCTATTCGGCGCACACACACATTTACACACAGACACGCGCGCGCACACTCGATCGATTCCGTATACTGTCTATGACACTCTGCTCCTCCTTATCACCCAGACGTTTTAATTGCTTTTCGTTACACGCTTTTGTCTTCACGGCACGTACATATATATAGTAGAGATACATATAGAGATGCACCACCCTTCCGCAGCAAGTTTACACAACAAAAAATATATATAATCATTATCAGTCTTGTGGGGTCTCTCTCTCCTCTCCCCCGATATCGCGGAGAGAAGAGGAATCCGCCCGTCGTCTAAATTACAATTTACGCGTGATAACCGCCACGGTGCACCTGCAGCTCCTCCTGGCGCTGCTGATGCGACGAGGCCGACAGCTGCTCCATTCGCCGGCTGCTCGACTTGGATCGGCTCTCTCTGCCGGTGGTGCCCGCGGACTGTTGCTGCTGCTGCTGCTGCTGCTCCCTGCAGCCCTCCGCCGAGCCGTTGTTGTAACGCGACGAGTTGTAATGATGGCACACGCTGCCGTTGGCCGGCAGCGTCGGATACTGACCCGGGTATCGGGGCGGCGGCGGAGGCGGGGGCGAGGGCGAGCTGCTCGCGGGCGCCCTGGCCGACCTGCTCGACCTCGCGGAGCGCCGCAGCGAGTGATAGGTCGGCGCCCCGATGCTGCTGTAGGTGTGGTGCTGCATCGTCGACGCCTGAGAATTGTTGCCGACCGTTCCGTTGGCCAGCTCGCTGCTTACGATGTTGTTGGCGCAGGTGGGGCTCGAGCAGAGTCGCAGCGCGCTCGAGCCGCCACCGGGCAGCGTCCCCGTGGTGTGGCCGAGATGGCGCATCTTGTGGGCCGTCTCGCCGTCGATGTAGGTGAAGCCCTCGGCCGGCTGGGTGCCGCCGTGCGGCAGGAACCAGACGCCACCGGCTTGCTGGTGATGATTCACGGGGCTCGCCGCCCGAAGCTCTAGCTATAGCTCCGTCACCGGTATCGGTTTGATACCGGCGGAGATCTGCTGTTGCTGCTGCTGCTGCTGGAGTTGTTGCTGGTGCATGGCCGAGAGCTGCTGATGATGATGCATGTGCAGCGGATGATGCGGCGGCGGCTGATGATGCGGATGCGCCGCCCTGACTATGTACTCGTCCTCGGAGAAGGTCTTCTGGTACTCGTGCTCCTTGCGCGATATCGCCCTATTCTTCCACTCGTAGTCCTTGAAGGCGTCGCTCACTCGGCGCTTGCAGCGATAGTACAGTATGAAGGCGACGCCGGCGGTGAAGGCGACGCTTGCGGCGCACAGGGTCAGCAGCAGGGCCTGCTTGCGCGGATCCGAGAAGGCGCAGCCGAGATCCTCGGGTCGCATGCCGCGCAGCGACTTGCCCTGCAGGTCCTTGGGCTCGCTGCAGATGACGGGCGAGGAGTTGCGCGGCGCCAGCACCTCCGACAGCCACAGCATGCCGCAGTCGCACACCAGGGGATTCTCGCTGAGGTCGAGTCGACGCAGCTCCGACCAGGCTACGAGCGACTCGGAGAACGTGGCGAAGCTGTTGTCGCGCAGCATGAGCTCGCGCAGATTCGGCAGTCCCTCGAGGGCGCCATCTTCCAAGGTAGTTAGGCGCTTGTTGTTGTTGAGCGTGAGATACTCGAGATTGCCGTTGTCGGCGAAGGCGCCGCGCTTCACCGTGGTGAGCAGTTTGGAGCCGGAGATCTCGAGCCGCTTGAGATTGGTCAGGCCCTTGAAGGCGCCCTGCCTGATCACGGCGAAGTCGTTCTGGCCGAGCGAGAGCGCCTCCAGTCTGGCCAGTATCGACAGCTGCTTGGTCGGTATCTCGCGCAGCTTGTTGCCGTTCAGCTGCAGGGTCTTCAGAGCCTCGAGGCCGCGGAACGCGTCGGCGCTTATGTTGTCGAGGCCCGCCGCGGTGATGTCCAGCACCACGAGCTTCTCCAGGCCCCTGAAAGCCTCGTCGGGCAGCGACGTGAACGCGTTCAGTCCGATGTGCAGCTCGGCCAGGGCATTGAGCGGCTTGAGCGCCGCCGAGGGTATCTCCTTGAGCTGATTGTCGTCGAGATAGAGGACGCGCAGCGAGCCGAGCTTGTGGAAAGCGCCGGGCTCGACCACGGAGATGCGATTCTGGCCGAGGTCGAGCTCCTCGAGCTTGTCGAGCGAGGCGAACAGTCCGTTGGTCAGCGTCTCCAAAAAGTTGTTGCGCAGATTCAGCACCGCCAACGACCTGAGACCCAGGAAGGTCTTCTCCGTCAGAGTGGAGATGCGATTGCGCTTGAGATGCAGCTCCATGAGGAGCTTCTGGGCCTCGAAGGTGCGCTCGGGCACCGCCACCAGCTGATTGTAGGACAGATCGACGTTCTTGAGATCGCCGTAGAACTGGAACGCGGCGGCGTCCACGGTGCGTATCTGATTGTCGCGCAGCACGACGCGCTGTATGCTCGGATTCAGGGCGATGGGTATGACGTCGAGCTTGGCGCTGATGCAGGACGCCACGAGGGTGTTGTCGTCGCAGTTGCAGCCGTTCGGGCAGAAGGCCGCCTCGCCGACGCAGATCGAGGTCGAGAGGCAGGCCAGCAGGAAGAAGCACGTCACCAGCCACATCCTTCGGTGAGCCTGGAAAATTGCAAAATTCGCTTGTTAGTAAAAATATTTATAATAAGTAATCTATTTGTAAATGCTATTTTTTGAAGGGAAAATAATAAGAGCTCGCTATATCGATATAACCCTTTTTCGCTTCCAGCACTTATACTTTTGGGTCGTTAATTAGCTTTCCTGACCTTGAGAGGAGGGAGCGAGATAGTCATGATAGCGTATTATGTTGAAGCAGCAGCAGCGCCTACCTATATACACAGCTGCCGGGGAGAGCTTTTATATCGGAGTACCTCAAAGCTCTCTCTCTCGGCCTTTTTCACTTAAACCAGATTTCATATAGAGCCGAGGCGTGCCTGTGCAGTGGCAGTGTGGCGTGTGCACCACCTCTAGCAGAGAGAGAGAGGCAGAGAGAAAAGAAGAGGGCGCGAGAGGAGCGAGAAGAAAAGGGGTGCATAACTCGCATAACTACATTTAAAGTCACGTCGTCTGCGCTTGGTTAAATAGACCACAGGCTTTCAGCAGCGCGAGAGAGAGAAGACTTTCCCCTTTTAACACAGAAAAACATCAAAAGACTCGACTCTCGGCTCGCTCGACTCGCTGCTGAAACTTTGCCCCGCGCGCATACACACAGAGAGAAAGAGCTCCGCAAGTCAATCTTCGAGCCCGGAGAGAGAGAGATTATAACGCACACGCGCGATGCTGCGCTGTACTCGCGCGCGCGGCCGCGTTATTTAGCCGCGATCATACATAGCGAAAAACGATCTTTCATCGTCGACAAAATAAAAGGAGAGTAAAAAACGTTGAGTAAAGCTAAAGTAAAAAAAAAAAAAAAAGGGTAATGTACACGAGCTCCATATACCAGCGAGAACACATGCCTTTGATTCTTCACCGCTGGTAGTAGTAGTAGTAGTATGTACACGCGAGTGAGAGCGAGTGTCGAGCGCGTCGAATTGAAAATGCGACGGGCGCGCGCGCGCCCGAGTTAGGGATTATCCAGGCGAAAGCGCGCATCATTAGAGCGAGATTATGTGCCGCTGCCGCTGCTGCTGAGCTTTGTGCGTGTATTGCATCGTGTGTGACCCCGATTCGCAGCGTTGCACTATATATATTCCTTGTGTGTGCGTGGCAGTAGATGACGAGTACTTCTCTCTCTCTCTGTGTCGTTGCAGCAGCAGCAGCAGTAGTACGAAAGCTACTGCTGATGCGATGTGCGGCTGCAATTTGTGGCCTGAGAGCTCGACGCGGCTGTTTTATTTTTTTGATTCGACGCCCAATGACACGCGAACGCGAGCAGCAGCTAACAGCGAATGCATCGCTCGCGTACGCATATATACGTCTGTATTATTTGATTTTGCTGTTTTCACGAAATTTCCCCGCGCGTACGTTTGGCTACTGGATTGCGCATGTATAGAGTAGTATAGCTGCTACGTACAGCAGCAGCCGTTTTAATTGAACAGCCGACCTACATTATTTTCAGACTCCGAGTTCGACCGGCGCGTATGTATACGTACGTATGTAGCTGCTGCTGCACTGCACGCGTGATTGCTGCATTGCGCACAGAGAGTTCAACGTGCCTGCGGGCTTTGTGCCCTGCTCATGCACACACACACACACACTCACATATACGGATGAATTACTCGACCAGCAGTAATAAAGTGTTTAGTTTTATTGAGTTGGCCGCGCTGCTGCTGCCCGAGCCTGCGAGTATAAGAGAGAGAGAGACCTTGCGAGCGATCAGCCGCGAGTTGCATCTGGGATATGTGTGCAGCAAACAGGTTTTTCATGCATCCAAAAGTTTTGCCCCTCCCCTCCCCCCATTCAATTCTAGATATCGTGCGGACTATTCGTCCGATTATTTATTGAATTTTCGTACTCTGCCAGGCGAATCTTTTTTCTTTCGGGTGTTCGACTCTCGCTCAGCTTGCCTGCCAAGCGCGCGCGTATATAAGCTTTATGCAAATGCCTGCGTATTTCATAAACCGTCCAAAGTCTTTGTAAACAAATTGCTGTAATGGTATATACGATTTTTATTCCAGCACCGAACGCAGAATATGGCGAAATAAGAAGAGAGATTGAGAATGCATATAGCAGGTAGAGCCGAGAGACAAGAAATCTAGCCGTTTGAATACGTATTTATATAAACTAGACTTAATGAAGAGTAATGAATGCATTTGCATGTGTACATGCATCGGAGGCGCTCGGATATATAATCGCTTTCATTTGATCGACGCCAGAGCCATATAGCGCCAAGTTCTCCGAGAGCCGCATTGAATTATGCAAGTTCGAGAGCTCTCGCGGGTGTCGGCTAGGCGGCGGGCGTCACTCTCGACGTCGTGATTGCTCATGATTTATGAACGTATGTACACGTACGAGTGACTCTTGAAAATGTTTTTTTTTTTTTAATAAATCCTCTCTACGTATATCGAATTTTAGCAAATTGAAGAATATGACCCGAAAGTGCAGTGCAATCTTATAGCGGGTCAAAGTTGAGTATACGAGAGATCGAGAGACACTCACTCGACGACGCGTGAAAAAGTTGTTCGTCGTATTATCCATCCATCTCCGTGATTCGCATTTCGACGACACTTTTCACGATACAAGCCGGCTAATGAATGAAAAAGGGGGAAAGAAAAACGAGCTGCGTATATTCAGCTAAGACGAAGTCGAAAGTGTATATATATGAGCGATGACGTATACGCGCGCGCGGGACTTTTTTTATGCGTTCTCCATCTCCCGCAAACGTTATAATCTATACTTTTTCAACAAAGTAGAATGGGAAAGCGAGGGAAGAGGAAAGAGTTGGCTCGGAAAAAGCGCGAGGAAGCAGGGAGAAAGAGAGAAATTGCTCGTTTCTTTTATTCTCGAGTCCTCGCGTGCGCTTCGAGTGATCGATCGTGTCGCGCGGCTAATCCGTGACAGCAGCGGCATCCTTCGCACGGAAGAAGAATATCGTACGAAAAGGATATACTCGTTAAATTACCAAATCGATTGTGAATCACGCGTCGAGTCCGCTTTAATAGGCTAGGACGAGTTTTCTTTCTCATCTCGTATACGCGACTGATGAAATCAACTTTCGCCTTAATGCGATGGTATGAGTTTCCTTCGCACGAGTTCGCGAATACGCGCATAATTGAATGTTTCGGAATTAAATAATCCAGACTCCGGCGGATATATACGCGCACAGCTTAGCAGCGCAAGGGGGCAACAGGTACAAAAGCGTCTACATGCGAAAAAACCCCGTAGGATTTTCAAAGACCTATGTTATAAAGTAAAAGGCAGCACGAAAACTGCGCCGCCGCGGCTCGCTGGTATATATATATGGCGGAGACTAAACGCGAAGAGAGAAAGAGAGAGAGCTGGCCTCCGGCCAAAGCCCTCTCGCGTGACTCTCGGTCGCGACTATATATACCTATACACATACACACACACACACATATCTTTTGCACACAGGTCGATTTGAGAAAATAAAAAGGGAATATATATATATATACTGCACAGCTCGCCTTGTATAGTACACTGCGTGTGTGTGCTGCTGCTGCTGCTGCGCGAGTTGCTGCTCACGATTTCCCGGAAAGAGATTTACAGACTTTAATATTGATTTTTAAAACAGGACCGAGAGCCGAGCCGAGCCGAGGCGAGCGCAAGGAAAGAGGAAAAAAAAGACTACACAGTGCCCTTATTTAAAAAAAAATAAGTATTTACATTCCTATTTTTCCTGGCGTGTGCCTCCCTCCCCACCCCCTGAAACTTGGAAGCGCCGCGAGTCCATCATTCATGGCCGATGTATAAAATATTTGCATCGCTCGCGTATAAATTCATAAATCATCTTTCGGATGAAATAAAAGTAATATCGCGGTGGCCCCGCGCGTCGCGTCGTACGCATCGCACGCACAACACACGTCTTGGCCAATAAAAATAAATCATACGATGAAACATTAGCAGCAGCAGCAGCTTACGGTCAAGAATGAAAGAATTAGGTTGCGAGCTCGAAAGCAATATAAAAAGTATACGCGGAAAATAATATAATGGCGTGGGGAGATATGAAACGAGTAATATAAAGTTTTTCCTCGAAAATTCGGTTCGAACCGCGCGCGGATGACACTTTTATTGGATGATAATAGCCGCTCGCGCGCGCGGCTGGGATACGACACATCCTTGAGGAAATTCATAATCTATATGCGCATGGAAACGGGTATTTATATTGACTGCAGCGGAGGAAAATATCGCTTCCGTTCCGATGAATCTTATTTTGCGCGTGAATTATTGAATTACGTTTGTAGCATTAAGTATCATTATCGATGGGTCGTATGTACGTCACTTTTTTTCTCTTCTCTTCTCTTCCTCTTCTTCTTCATTTTTTGCTTCATCCGCAACGTAACTCGGTGTACGCGCGCGCGGGCTGCGTGCGATATTCAATAGACCCTATTTGCACTTATGAATTAATCATCTCGCGCGCAGGCGGCGATATCGGAGAAAGATCGATTCATCTCCCCGCGGATTCCACGTAAATAATAATATTACGCGCTCGTTTATCCGTCATCATCATTATTATACTTTTGATTCGGCCTCGATCGTTTTCGCGCCCGTTTCACACACTCGTTCGCGCGTCACGCTTGGATCGATCGTGCGCGTATTTCTTTTGTTCTCTCGCGTGTGCGTGCGTGTGTATTAAAAATTTGCTCGCACGCGTGTACAATAGAGGGCAGAGTATATATTTTTCTAAACGAACGCCTGCGATAGATGTGTTGTTGCTTTTCTTTCTCTTTCTATTCCTCTATATACATTAAACACGATGCGGGGGATTTAACTGGGCATTTTTTCGTTTTGTTTTGCAAACTGCGCACTGCACAAAACAACGTAAAAAGCATCAGCAACAGCAGCAGCAGTGGCGGCGGCGACTGCGCTGGCAAGAAAATACCGACTATCCGAACGTGTCACGTCTCGAAAGGAGAAAGAGAGAGAGAGAGAGAGGTCGAAAAAATAACGCTCGAGCGCAACGAAGAAATGGTATCACGCCCAAC